GAAATTTCTCCAGATTACCTCAACAAATTAACAGCTAGAATGCCAAAGGTCTGCAATGCTGTAATTGCTGCAAATGGAGGATTCTTTGACGAAAGCAAAGTTTGAAGGAAAAAATTATTATTTCAAATACAAATCATTATTTCTAACCTTGTCAATGTCTTTACTATATTTTCTATTCATTTTACAGCTCATGGTGGTAAATAAAAGTGTGACTTTTCATGGAAAACACAAAATTGTCTGGGTGACCCCAAACTTTTGAACGGTAGTGTATATTCTAATAAATAGTTGTCTGGCATTAAATATCACAATTTGTCACACGGTTATGACGCGAATTTCTTACGTAAGATAACGACGTCATCAAAATTTAGGCAGTCGTTAGCTAGTTGTAAGAAATTATGAGGTTTGTAGTTGAATTTTTTTTTTTTGCCAGAATTAAAAGTATTCTACCCAAAATTATTTTTTTTTAATTTGAAAAACAGCACAGGTAGACTAAAGTAGACTTTCAATAACATTTATTTACATGAAACGAGTGAACTAACTGAACCACAACTGCAGCTCACCTTTCACACCTATTGTCAGGAAACTTTTTCTGTTAGATAGGACTGTAAAAAATGCTGTTAGTTCATACCCCAGTTTCGTAACACACAAATAATCAAATAAAAATCAAATAAAGAATCAAATACGATATCTCAAAGTTTTAAAAGTTTTACTTGCAGCAAGGAGTGCAGAACAATGGTTACTGTCAGGAAACTTCCTCCGTTAGATAGGACTGTAAAAAAAATGCTGTTAGTTCATACCCCAGTTTCCCAACACACAAAGAATTCAAATAAAGATCTGATCAAATAAAGAATCAAATACGAGATCTCAAAGTTTTAAAAGTTTTAATTGCAGCAAGGAGTGCAGACCAATGATTACATTCAGAACTGCACTGAGGAAGTCCTCAGTGCTCAAAGCTTAAATACAGTTTTTTCTACATACACATCAATGGTCAGTACCTTAACCCTTTACAGCCATGTGGTGTCCATGCACCACTTCTGAGCGCTGATTGGCAAAGGCTGCTTCAAACAAAGATTATCCACCAATAGAAAACATGTACACATGCTGAGCTATTCTGCTCAGTAACTCAGGTTAGATAAAAGAAATACACTTTGGATTCTTTTCCTTTTTGATGTTCTGTTTTCCTCATTATTTGGGCAGAGAAACTGGTTCAGGCCAGTTCTGTGAGCTGTCTCTATCTTCAAGCGTAACAGTCAGTGCCATCCGTACCATACACCATCCTGTTATGTAAACCATCAGCATGCGCACCTTTCTTCAGTACTTCTCCTTTTAGTACAGCATTCAAAAACAAACAGTATAAATTGATATAGAAACGTAATACAATGAATATATTGTAAAGATTGAATAAATGTATTTACAATATCTTAACAGTTACATTCAGAACTGCACTGAGGAACACCTCAGTGCTCAAAGCTTAAATACAGTTTTTTTTTACACACACACTTCAATGGTCAGTACCTTGGCATTCCACAGCCATGCAGTGTTCACGCACCACTTCTGAGCACTGATTGGTAAAGACTGCTCCAAACAAAGATTCTCCACCAATAGGAGCTATGTGCATGTGCTGTAGTTAATCAAGTCAGATAAGACCATGCAGTTTGGATGTTTTTCTCTCTTTGTCTTTTGTTGGTCTTCCGTCGATCTTAAGACATATCTCCTTATGTCTCTATCTCCAAGTGTAACAGTCGGTAGCATTCAGTGCTGTCCACATCATACTGTTATGTAATCCACCAGCATGCACACTTGTCTTCAGCACTTTCCCTTTTAGTACAGCATAATAACAGCATTCAATAACAGTATAAATTGATATGGAAACTTAATACAATGAATATATTGTAAAGATTGAATAAATGTATTTACAACATCTTAACAGAGGTCAACTGTCATGACCAAAAAAAAAAGAACTTAAATAAAATTAAACTAAAAATATTAATAAAAAAAGATAAATTATTGTTCACCACCGTCAAATCAACTCTGACCATTGGCCTCCAACAGTGAGCAGGTAATTTGATAAATTAAAAGACAAAAGATGACACCGATGAGAGAAGAGACGACAAAAAGTACAACGTTTCAATGCAGAGTGACAAAAGTGAAATTGATATTTGAAATATTGCTACGTAAGCGTAGAAAAGTTTTTTTTCTTCTTTCAATTGTAAACATTAAAATCGATGTTCAATGTCGTTTTGAACGTGGGAGAAAAAAAAAATCACGCAAAGAAATCATGACTATAAACTGTTCTCGTTAAAATGTAAAAACAACGTAAGTAAATCTGTCTCATGTTTTATTATTACAGTAATATTGTTTTATGTTAACACTCGCTCCGTATAAGTGTTTTTTGTTTTTAAATGTACTGATATAAATACTTTTATACACAACTTTTTTATGACTCCTCCTCCAGCGTTCTTTTTACAAGGCAAAAAACAATGCTCCTGTCTCTACTGACATTATACTTGCGCGCGCACACACACGAGCGGCTCTATGTGCGATTGAGGGTCTGGAAGATTCTGGAAATTTGGAGCATGACGGGGCCGGTCTCGGGGTCGTTCATCCACTGGGCGCTGTTGAGTGGATTTTCCAGCATGTCTTCAAACGCTGCCAATGAACACACACACAAACACACACGAACACACACACGAACACACACACACACAGGATAGGAAAAATAAATTTATTTTACATTGACTAGTACTGTACATTGTCTCCTCACCCCTTCAGATGGGGGAGGATCTGACAAAATGTGGTTCTCAAAATATGGTCCATGTAACACCAGCGGTACTTGGACTTCCACCTGGTGGTGTGTGTCACAAAGTTGTTAAACACAGCTGTTATATGTTGTTGTTCTGTGCCATAGATGGTGTGTGATTTTCTACGCCATCTATTGGAGAACGTGCAGGGAAAAGGCAGAAGTATAATGACAATATGAATAAATTATATAATTTGGAAACGTTTGACAGGCTGGATTAAGAGCCAAATGGGCATTAGTTTGCCCATGCCTGTTGGGCAAACAGGGAGTGCAGAATTATTAGGCAAATGAGTATTTTGACCACATCATCCTCTTTATGCACATTGTCTTACTCTAAGCTGTATAGGCTCGAAAGCCCACTACCAATTAAGCATATCAGGTGATGTGCATCTCTGTAATGAGAAGGGGTGTGGTCTAATGACATCAACACCCTATATCAGGTGTGCATAATTATTAGGCAACTTCCTTTCCTTTGGCAAAATGGGTCAGAAGAGGGACTTGACAGGCTCAGAAAAGTCAAAAATAGTGAGATATCTTGCAGAGGGATGCAGCACTCTTAAAATTGCCAAGCTTCTGAAGCGTGA